AGGTCATTCCCTGCTGCTGACACACACACACAAACACTCTCCTCATGGTGGATCATTGCTCTCCTCTTCTGTGCTGTAGACCTCCGTTGTTGTCCACCAGTTATTAAAGCCCCCAATGAGCCACAGCGCTGCACTGGGGGGCAGGTTTCCTCCTCAGGAAACATGAGAGGTCCCCCTGTTTTCAGCAAACTGTTCTTTAGTGTTGCACTTTGACCTCTGACCTCCAGCTCTGGGAGCTGACAGGAGGCTGTGTAGACACCCTTTTGGAGGACCTACACTCCTCCTCCACCCCCCTCCCTCTGTTTTTTTGCCCTCCCCTGATGTTGGACAGGGTGTCTCCATGGCGACAGGATAAACAGACAATAACAAGCCTCCGCACTTCAGAACTCGTGTGAATGCTGCAACAGAGAGAGAGGTGAGACAGAGGAGGACAAGACAGACAGGTAAGACGCTCTGTGACTGTGTGAATGCTGAAGAATTAGCAACACTTATAGGAGATTGCTGAGATATGTTTAAAAAAATCTGTCCACAAAAAAAACTGGACTGCAGCTGAACTGTTGTTGACAGTAGATATAGAGTCATTGTACTATAGCGAGTGCAGAACTGACAGATGATAAATGTGGACATGCTGACAACAGAAATTTAAGTGTAAACAAAATATAAATACGCAACGTGTTAGTGTAGAACAGTCGTTTCAGCTCTAGTTGGTTTATGCAGAACATGTAGTGCAAAGAGCTAAATAGTGTTGTAATAAATTGTGTGTATGTTCTGAATCATTAGGAACATAAGGTGATTCCAAACACAGACGTAGGTTATGTGCATCTGTTGACAGAGTAGATGCTCAGGACTTTATGTGCACGATGTTACAAACCCACAGCGGATTAATGTTACATGTATTCATGTTTAATATTTGGACTGAACTACAGAAGGGCATGTACACACACAGACTGAGCGAAACCTGCTCCTCTAAAATGTTTTTAATTATTGTTCACAGATGAACTGAACAATTAGGCTTTTTCATATAGTTCTGTAAATGTTGAGTGGCGTGGAGGCTCGCAAGCACATGTTCAGGTCTTCCTGCTCGCCCCTGGGCTGCAGTGTCTCTGGCAGCTGGTTCATATAAACAACCGACTCACTGGTCCTATATGAACACATGTACGTGTTTTTAACATGTTCTTTTCAGCTTGTATTTGAACGGGAGTTAGGCGCAGATTGTTTGGTTTCTGAGCATCCCATTAGCCACAAGGCCAAAATAAAAAATTGCAGCTCTAAATGGTTAAACTCGTGATGTGACTGCCCTGGTCTTATACAGACCATCAGGGCGTGGGAACAGACATGCTTCTATTTTAACCAGCCCAGAAGTCCACACTGGACTCTCCATACCCACATAAGTGTGAGGCGCAGTGTATTTTTACACAAGTCTATTTTCTTCTGTTTTATGGATGCATCTACTGAGTGTTGGGCTCTGAGTTGCACGACACTCAGTGCTGTACCTGAGGACTGAGACTGCTCTCACTGCACCTCCTCTGTAGCACGGTGCCCATGTGGAAACCTGAACTGGAATCCCTAGCCTGTGATCTCGCCTCATTGACACAACATATCAATGACTAACTGTAATGTTAGACATGTCTGCCCATATCCACATATGTTGTCACACCTGGTGGAAAGCTGCTGGACTCTGACATCCAGGCCTCCTGCTTTGCCAAGACCAGGATCAGGACAGATGCTCCTCATAGACCCCGACACTTCACGGTTCACAGTGTGACATCTCTGCCTTGACATGCATGTTTTTAGAGAGGGAAGAGGCAGCTGGAGCTCAGGTGGTGGAGCAGGTTGAGACAGTTGGACTCAGGATGTCCTGCTTGGGACCAATCAATGGCTGAACATCACAGACTGTGTGGACGTCTCTGGACCTGCTGTTCTAGTTCATGAAGGTGCAGCAGCCCCCTCATATGAAAGGCTGCGTTTGCACCATGTCACTGATCACATTGCTCTGAAACAGCTGGTCACAGTGAAGCATGAGGACAGGAGATCTTGTTGTTGTCTGGTTGGTGCAGAACATGGACAGTTTATTTTACAGTAATGAAAGAATAGTTTGGTGAAGCTCTATATATAATTGCTCCTGTCAGACTGTGCAAATGTGACACAGCAATGTTTGCTTCACAGTGATTTTTAAGAAAGAAAATGGAGCCGGAGTTATTCTTTGACAAGAAGCCAGCAGCAGCACAATGAGTTGCAAGCACCAGTGTGTTGGTACAGAAACTCCACACAGACTCACTAAGCATGACAGCCACTGTTGGGGATTGCATGCATGTGTGTGTAAACAAACACGCCTGAGAAACCAGAGTGAGGTCATGTCTCACATGCCAACACAAACAGACACTCTGGTTTCTGCTGCAGAGGTCAACACCTTTGTTTGTAAAATACCTTTAAATAGTAAATTCAGAGGCAGAACTAAGAGCCAGCCTGCCTGCGGGATATTCAGTTTACTCTGACAAAAAAAAAACTGAGAAAAACACAAAGAAAAACATGGGCATACAGCAGGACACAGATAAAATCTCTCCACAGATGTGAAACACATTGATCTGACTCGGTGTGACGCCCGCTTCCTGAGGAGCTCATCATCTCCGGTGTCCGTCCAGAACAAACCTCCATACATCCACTTAGAAGCCAGAGGATCCGGGGCTGCAGAGCCTGTCTGAGAATCCTCCTCTTTCTAAGTTTCCTTTAGTCTCACAGTGATCCAGGGACTGTTGTCTGTACGTCCATGGGACACTGCACACAGGAGCTGCTCCTGCTCATCCTGCTGCTGGTAGTGGGGACACGGTGACCACATGGAAAGAAATGTAGGCTAAAAACAGTAGGCACAAAGGGAACCACAGTACAGACCTGCAGCTGACATTACAACAGACCTGTTGATGGGCTCTTTCTGCCCCGGTAGACTCTTTCAGATGAAATGATCATAAATCTTCTCTCAAACTGAGAAGGTTGTCTATCCATACATGACTGATGACAAATAATGTTTATTTCTAAAAGAAAAGTCCAGGTACAAAAAATGTGGTGTGTGAATCTGCTGATGAGAAGTTGTCACTGAGGCCATTATTTTGTTAGAGAAGAGTGGGGGGGAAAAGATTTCCTTCACAACACATCAGCAGTTTTTCTTTTCATTGGTTTGGTGTTGCAGATATTTTCCTGCCATGGCGGAGAGTGCAGACATGGAGCAGCTCCTGACAGCTTTTAAGAAGTTTGCCATTCATGGAGACACAAAGGCCATTGGGACGGAGCTGAACGGGAAGAACTGGGCCAAACTGTGCAAAGACTGCAAGATCATCGATGGCAAGAATGTCTCCAGCACAGACGTGGACATCATCTTCTCCAAAGTCAAGTGAGTCAGCAGAACAGGTTCAGCTTGTGTGTGGCCTGCAGAGAACTGCTGATACAACACTGCGACATCACTTTTTAAAACTGGACAATTGGAGCTGATTCTGTCTTTTATAAGCACCACCCTTTCCCTGCATCTTAGTGACTAGTGTAGCCAGGCAAAAGACTGAATGTGACACATTTACCCATACCCCAAACTCAGTAAGTTCGGCTAATGAAGCTTAACACATTTGTAAGGTAACCACCTTGCTGTTTTGTGTATTTTGACTGAGAACAGATGTTCTGCAGTACAGCTAACGGGCAATGCGATAAACTATTCACAGTGGGGAATGCGTCTTTATCGTGTGGAGAGGGCTAATGACCCCCACATCCAACTTGTTTTGATCATTAGTTCAGGATCTTTCAGTCTAGGTCATCATGCGTAACTTGGAGCCTCTAATATTTGCCACTGGCCAAATGAGCCTGCTGTGGGAAACAAGATGGCACCGGCCTTCAGTAGGAGTCACGCTTAAAGCAGTTCATAAGATCCCCAGGCCCTCTGTTCAGAATCATTGTCCTCAGCTACTGTAGTCCTTGTGTCCTGCCCATCATCAGTACAAGGTATGTCACAGAAATTAAACTGTGAACTCCATTTGATTTTGATAAGCTAGCAGCTGTATGTTCTTGCAGTGGCTGCAGAGTTGCATGATTTGCTAACTTATGTTGCACTGAAAATCTCATGTTTACAGCTACTGTGCACATTGGCTGTCAATGCAGTAGTATCCATAGAATATATTTTCAGTTAACTATACCTTTAATAGCATTATTTTAAACAAAATGCTTTTGTTTATTCATTTGAAATCTGTTAGTAACTAAAAATGAATTCAATCTGGCATTTTGGTGTCCCAGCTTCTTCTCGAGGTGGCAGTGGGACACGTGACTACACAGCGGGTCCACATAAGATGTGAGGAGAGAGGAATAAAGGAACATATTTTTAAAGACAAGACATCAGTCCTTCATCTGAAGCATACAATCACTAACTGATGTCTGATAAGGGGGCGTGTTGGTCCATAAGACTTTGTGAAGGACAGACCTGCATATCCTTTGACACCCTCAATCCTTGGTTGACCAGAACAACATCTGGGTCGAGATATAATCACATAAGAAATCTGAGATGTAGTTCTCAGGTGGGTCAATGTAACGTTCCATGGAGGTGATGTGTAACCCTGTGAACACTGCAGCATGACACCTTCGTTATAGAGGTGTAGTGATGGATATATTCAGGTGGAGTAGGCGGGGCAGTTTGCTGTACACCCGCCTACACACAGACACAGATATATGGGGCGCGGAACGTAAAAATAGCACTTACACTAGTTTTCCCTCACATTTTGTTACAGCAAGCTGCACACCAAAAGAGCGACTGGACTCAGTAATAGGCAGGACTCAAACTCAGGTCAGAGAAAGATATTGGACAGAGTATGGAAAGGAAAGGAGGTGGCGAGGATCAGACGCGGAGCTGCCGGCGTGGGTCTCGGGCGTTTGGGGCCGCTGAAATGACTGGACCACTGGAGGAGCCGCCCAGGGTCGGAGGAGAGTATTTGGCACTGCGTATAGAGCAGAGAAGGAGATTAGGAGAGGGGACAACAGGCGGATGAGGGTGTGATGAAGTAGAGCACAACACAGGTGACCTGCGTATAGGGAACTGCTGGCTCCGGGCTGGAGAGCGGGCTTGGAACCCAGCGCCGAGGTATGCAGACAGGAACAAGCGCCCACTCTTCACTGACCCAGGCACTTGATATGGACCCCAACCAACGATCGTCGCTCGGCAGCAAGGCCCACGGAGATATAGGCGGCACCAGTTCAAAAAACAGACAGGAGTCCGTCATCAGTTCAAAATAACAGAAGATACTCCTCGCTAATGAGTTCAGAATAAACATAAGATCTCCCCAATAGTCAGTTCCAAAAACAACAGAAGACCTCAAATACAGCCCCGCTCACACCTGACTCTGAGTTTGAGGTCTTTGAGTCAGCATCACTGATTCGAGTTCAGCATTATGGGCGGGGCTGTGTGCTGCACTGTAATAGGGCAAGGCTGTGGAGCTACTAAATATTTAGTTTTACACTTGGCGAGACATTTTACATTTACGTTTACATTTAACATTTACATTTAACATTTACATTTACATTTACATTTAACATTTAACATTTAACATTTACATTTAGACTGTCACATTTAGCTAAATGTGAGAAAACTTGTTGTTCGGCGCCCCATACAGATACACATCACTGCAATCAATCTTATTTCAGTCTGCCATGTAATCGGTAGAGTTTACTTAAGATGGAGAGTTTTGCTCCCCTATTCTGGTCTTGCAGGCAGTGTCTCCTCCCCTCAGCCAACACAAGTGTCCTGTAAAGCTGCACCAGGTCTGGAGATCAGGGCCATTCTTGTTCAGTAACCCATGACCTTCATAGCTCACACAGATGCAGCAGGCAGAGCAGTGATGTCACACTTACACCTTCTGATCAGCATCAAGCATCAGTGTATTGAAGAGTCTTGTGTTTGCTACCAGGTGACCAGTATCATCCAGTCATATTCATACATGTATTAATAAACTATCTCCATCACTCTGCTGATTTGTCATGGCCTCATCCTGAGCAGGGTTGGATGCTACCACTCCTTTCTACTGTTACTACATGTGTGGTGCTCAATTCCTGCAGATCAAAAGCTTCTGTGCTTTCTCCTCTGTCTTCTTACCAGCTGGCTGTTTGTTTCTGTGTGCAGACAGAAGACGTCCCGGGTCATCACATATGAGGAGTTTCAGAGAGCTCTGGAGGAATTGGCTCCAAAGAGGTTCAAAGGTCAAAGTAAAGAGGAGGCGGTGCAGTCCATCTTCAGACTGGTGGAAGGCAGAGAGCCCTCCAACGTGGGAGTGACGGTGAGAGCAGAATTACAACTAGGAGGCTGATGTGGGTGGGTTTTCCCATGGTTCTGTATGAAAATGGACACTATTCTTTTTAGTTTACAGTTTATTTTAAGAAAATGATTTGGGGGGGGGGGGCGCCTTTATTTGTCAGTAGGTCACAGAGAAGTAGAGACAGAAGGGGAGACTGTGACAAATGTCAGTGACCACACACAAACTACTGCTGTTCTACACACACTGTGCATGTGCACACAGTGGGACACTAACATTTGGCCATAGAGGGACTGCATTACATTCCTGATCCAAGCTATAGGACAGTGATCACTAAAATCAAGTGGAAAGACGTCGCTTAATTTAAATTTTTGAGGGCTATTTGAACAAATATTGAAAAGGCTAGTCTTGTTGGTGAAGACATTGAGATACTGTAGGTTAATCTCATTACACATAATCTTCAGTCCTTCAGATACAGAGGTTAACCCATCAAGGTTCAGATTACCCAGAAGCAAGATTTCAGATTTGACTGGACAGCAACTGAAAGATGCTGGCAATAAAATCAGATTTAGCAGAATAACCAGCTGCCAACCACAATTATCACTTTTTCCTAAGAGACATTTATGGCTGGAAATTCAAAAGAGTTTGCTCTAGATGGAGAATTAACAAGAGTGAGAGAAAAGCTTTTTTTTTTTCAGAAAAACTGCCACACCTCCCCCTCTAGCAGACCTGTCACAGGAAAATGCATTGAATCCTTCAAGTGCAGAGGAGTTATCATCTTATCAGTTGGCCAAGACTGTGAAAGCACAATAATATCAACATTTGTTTGTTGAACCCACACTTCAACATGGTCCATCTTTGGCCATAGGCTGCGTACAGTCATATGTATAACACCAAGGCAGCTGTGGTTTGGTGGGTAGTGCCTTGGTTCTGTACCAGAAACAAATTGTGTGTGTAACATACTTAGCCAGATAAAGTGATTATCCTGATCCTATCCCTATCTTTATCCTTATGATGAGAAAAACTATGAATGTCCAGATCGATGTACTGATCAATCGGCGCTGGAACCACTTTCCTCATTCCACTCTTTCTATCTGAGCATTTCAATGTAAGATCATAGTCACCAGTTCAAACCTTGATTTCATCATTTAACTCAGACCTACGTTCAGGTTGACAACTCAAACTTGAATTAAATTTTTTGGTTCCTGTGACGTGGAGTCAGTCATTAATCTAACAAGTGTGTTTAGGGACAGTGATAAAGAACTATGCCTCAACCTTCAGAAGGTTAGTCATGGGGGATTATATGGTCATGATAGCCTTGAGATTTTCTCAGGAATTGAGTTCCTAAAGTGTCAGTACTTCCCGATTTTTAATCATTGCCTTCATAAAGGTCTTAGCTCTGAGGAGTGAGAAAAGATGTCTGAGGATACATGAGTCCAGTTTGCCATTCTGAACCCTTGGTTCTCTGCTGCTGAGGCAGCACATGGGCAGGTGTCACACCTAGGTCTGTTTGCATTTATTTCCTGTCCTCTGTGTTTCTACCAGAAAGTGGCAAGGACAGCAGCGGTGGACCGTCTGACAGACACGTCCCGTTACACTGGATCACACAAGGAGCGCTTCAATGAGAGTGGCAAGGGCAAAGGTCGGGAGGGCCGGGAGGAAATCGTGGAGGACACAGGCTACGTGGGAGCGTACAAGAACGCTGGAACATACGACACCAAGATGAAGACAAAGAAGTAACCAGGCAGGAAGCAATATCTCCTGTTGGGAGCTGACAGGAAGTATAGCTCTTCTACAGTATCTAGTCTGGACCAAAGCTTGACCTTTGACCCTCCGCGTGTGTGTGTGTGTGTGTGTGTGTGTTTGTGTGTTTGAACGGAACAGACTGACAGAGCTTCATGTTGAGCTGCACTCAGATCAGATCTGTAGATCTACAAACTCATCAATATGAAAGACGTGATGCAGTTTGTAATTGAAGAAACATGACTGGGTGTCTCATTATGAAAAGGACAGTCTGTAGCTCCCCGGCGCCCCCCTGTGGCCGTAATGGTTGTTATACACCAGGAATAAGTCTTCATAAACCCATTACTTTAGCCCTGTTCAAACTGGATTTATGTCTGTATAGGGGAGGTAGGGTAATGTATTGCATATGTGGCTAATTTTTCACCCCCACCCCACAACAATTGCTTTTCTGAGAACTGGCTGCTCCTCCTGTCATTTAAATCCACTTTAAGCTGCACTGTCAAATTTTAAAGTGGACCTCTGGGTTTATTCCTACTAATTTGACTTTTGTGTAAGAAATGGAGAAATGTGGAAACATGCTAACACCAGCACAGAGTCCAGTTTGGGACCAGTATTAAATTCATCAGGAGAAAAAGACCCTGAAAGAACCCATCAACAGGTTGCTGCAGGTTTGTACTGTGGTTCCCTTTGTGCCTACTGTTTTTAGCCTACATTTCTTTCCATGTGGTCACCGTGTCCCCACTACCAGCAGCAGGATGAGCAGGAGCAGCTCCTGTGTGCAGTGTCCCATGGACGTACAGACAACAGTCCCTGGATCACTGTGAGACTAAAGGAAACTTAGAAACAGGAGGATTCTCAGACAGGCTCTGCAGCCTCGGCTCCTCTGGCTTCTAAGTGGATGTATGGAGGTTTGTTCTGGACGGACACCGGAGATGATGAGCTCCTCAGGAAGCGGGCGTCACACCGAGTCAGATCAATGTGTTTCACATCTGTGAGTTCACCTGTCACCGAGTCAGGTCTCTGAGATGGAGGCAGACCTTTGACTCCCCTCAGCTCTGCAGCGCCCCCTGAGGAGACTGCTGTTTCTCTCTCTGTTGTCTTTGTACTGCTGAATGTCAGTTGCTGTTACATACAAGATTCTGTCAATTCACAATGGTTAAAATAAAATCCAGAGCCAGGAGTTTGATTGCTGAGGAGAAGCACAGTGAAGATTCATTCCCCACCTCCCCTGCGATGTCCATCCTGTCTGAGTGGAACTTTAGTTGCTTGTAAAGCTTTTGTTAAACTCTGTAACTGCTACAGAGCACCTCAGCCAGCTTAAGACTTCAGTAACATAATGTACATTGTGTACTGTTGTTCTAGCATCAGCATGTTACAGCATTTAGTACCCAAACATCCTCTTAGTTCAGAGTTTCAGCGCTGAGGACGTTTTGAGATTTTCACTCAAGTATTTTTTATCTGCAGCACCGTTTTGATCTGTGCTGAATTAAACTGAAACCTGAACCCATGTTGGCATGTTTGTAACTATATAACATTTGTAGCCTTGTTTTTCTTCTACAGTATAATTATTAATAACTTGCTCCATCTGTCTGAAGTGAATTCATTGAATGAATAAAGGCTAAAATATTTTCTGCTCTTTCTTTGATCTGTTATAGGCTGTTTCACTGCAGAAACGCTTTCAGGATTATTTTGTACAAACCTTTTAACTCTGGTCTCCTCATTTGAAATGTAGATAATTATTAGAGTTCCAAGCTCCTAAAGGCTTATCATTTGTAGAGGATAGCGAAGCTACAAAGCACAGCACTGGTACTTAAAGTGCCCAAGGCTGCCCATTTTGCTAGTGTCCAGCCATTTAATGTTTAATCTTGGGTACCTCTAGATTAACTATATCTATCTATCTAAATAAATGGAATGAAAATATTGATTGAAAAGCTGAATATATTGATTGAAACTTGAGAATATGGATTGAAAAGCTGGATATATTGAATGAAACTTGAGAATATATATAATGAAAGTCTGAATATATATATAATGAAAAGCTGAATATATGGAAAGAAACTTGAGAATATTCAATGAAAGTCTAAAGTGGCTATTGCGACTATGCTTTAAGGCAGTTTGCAGACACCTGTGAGTACAACTTTTAGCGTTAAGGTTCTTTCTGTAACGTTGGTACTACTAGCCTGGTGGCTAGGAACAGTCTGGCTAGTAAGACTCGCTACATTTGGCCGTCCTCGATTAAACATTGAATAAATGTAGTCATCAGCGGTACGATATTGGGTGGGGTTTATGGTATTATCTTGGGTGCTGCACGCATTGGCCAGTGTGTTAATTATTTCTTCGTTATTTAGGATGGCAGCCACTAAATTTCTTGTTGACTGGCTCATTGTCAACTTCACAGTAGACTGAGCAAACGAAAAACACCGAGTTAAAACACAAGATGGCGCAAGCTAGTAACATCGTTCAGTACTCAACCCATCCAGGCTACAGACTGTTTGTCGGGCAAAAGATACAGGGCAGTGAAGACACACACTAACAGGCTAAGGAACAGCTTCTTCCCTGGAGCTGTAGCCTGGGTTACACCCCGCTCCCTCACACACACACACACACATACCCAATCCCACACACCCACAGCTCCAAAAGACTGAAGACTGTAATAACCAACCTGCCCCCAACCTGCTGCTAATGCATGTAGCACCTTACATTTTACTGACATTAACTAGTACATTGCGTGGCACTGCTTTGCACCGTTTTGCATCATGCCAACAACACTGTACACATATGCCATTGTATACATTTGATGTTGGGTTTATTGTTGTTGCTTATATTTCTATTTCTATTGTAACTAATTTGTTTTATTTAGATTCTTTTATCACTGCTGCTCACTGAGAGCTGCCAAACCAATTTCATTGTACAACTACAATGACAATAAAGTCTCTTTCTTTATCTCTAAAGGCTTTTTCTATTTATGTATTTATTTACATGTGAGACTTACAAAAAGCACAGCTGTAAATGCTAAAGCAAATGATGGCTGAATTCCACTTTTAGGCATGTATGTTTAAGCTTAATGCAGTAATGCTGAAATTTTCTTCCAACATCAGTTACCTTGCTTTTTTCTGAGTTCTCTTGTTGCAAAGCTCCAAAGATTGCTTAAAAAGGAAGGTGATCACTTCTCCTAATATTACATTACTGTATATTTGAAACACTGTCATACACTTAAAAGGTACGTAAGATGAAAAGTGAAAGCTCATTCTCCACCAAATCAGTTTCAGTGAACTGTAAAAGCCCCAAGAAACTTCAGTGATGTCACTTTTAGTTGTAATCAGCCTGTTTCATCCATTTGCTTGATATATTTTAAGTGACATTAAACCACCAATCATGTTAAAAAAAAACTTTATTGTGTTCCAGAGAGCATGTTTCCAAATCATCAAACCAAGCTACAGAGACCAGTACTTGCATGTTTTATTTATTAGATCAGTTCCTTCTGGTGCTCCCTGCTTCTGTCATAAGCAATAAACTCAAACATCTACACAAGCTATTATCTCTGGCTGTTGTCAGTGATAAATGCAGCATGATCAAATCCAAATAGTCTCGTTCTCTTAGCTGAAATGAGCTAAGAGGATCTCTTAGCTGAAATGAGCTAAGAGGAAGGCACAATGGCACACAGCAATAGATGCTGCTGTGTTGCCTGGCACGTGTGTGTGTGCTGGATGAAGTGAATGCTTTGGGGAGTGTTTTGTCTGCTAGTGTGTGCAGTGTGTGTAATTGTGTTGGGCCTTACCTTATTTGGATAGTAATTACAGCTTAATGTCTGCTACACACGCACAAACATCCCACCCACTCTCAAATGTTTGTATGCACATACCTCATTATGTAACACATGTTCCAACACACACACACACACACACACGCCATCTTAAACCAGTGGCTTGTCCTGCAGAGAGACAGGTCTTCCCTGATCTTGACAGGCTATTCTGCAAGTGGTGGCATGCAGCCTGTGTCTCTGTGCATGTTAAGTGATCTATGATGACACCGAGACACATAAAGACACTTGAAGTTGCATTCGTGATAGTCTTCTGCCTGAAGACTGTTGCATTGCAGGTGTGTGGGTTCATTTGCCCTTTGTGTGGTTGTTAAGGGGCTTAGATACTGTATTGTCCAGGCCAAAATGTTTGACAATTGTTAAAATGATGCATACAGTACTAGAACCCCAAAGGCTATAATACAATTGAGCAGCACTATTTTTCAAGGTACTGTTGGGTTTTATGGGAGATGTGGTTTTGTTTTACAGAGGAACAACTCCAGTTAAAGTACCCAAGCAGCAGCCATCCTGACTTGATGCATGTTACCATGGTATTTTAAAGTATACAATTTAGTATTGCACTTCCATAAAGTTGGGGTACTTACAAGAGATGAAAATCAAAGCAGCAGATGCTGACATACTGACACACTTGCGTGTCTGTATGTATGAACATGTGTATAAAAATAAAAATAAAAATTTCCCACTTGCCCCGCTTTGGGGGCGGTCTTATTCCTTCCTTCAAGCTTGGGTCCTTTACCAGAGGCCTGGGAGCTTGAGGGTCCTGCGCAGTATCTTAGCTGTTCCTAGGACTGCACTCTTCTGGACAGAGATCTCAGATGTTGTTCCTGGGATCTGTTGGAGCCACTCTTCCAGTTTGGGGGTCACAGCCCTCAGTGTTCCTGTTACCACGGGGACCACTTGTGCCTTCACCTTCCACATCTTTTCTAGCTCCTCTTTCAGCCCTTGGTATTTCTCAAGCCTCTCATGTTCCTTCTTCCTGATGTTGCTATAGCTTGGGATTGCTACATCTATCACTACAGCCCTCTTCTTCTGTTTGTCCACCACTACTAAACTAAGTCCGGTTGGACTTAGTAGTCAGTAGTCAGTTTGTATCTGGAAGTCCCACAGGATCTTAGCTTGGTCATTCTCAACCACCTTTGGAGATGTATCCCATTTTGACTTTGGGGCTTCCAGCCTGTAATCAGTACACATGTTTCTGTACTGAGTACAAGCTGGAGAAAGTGTCTGGAGAGAGGGAAGTCTGGGCATCTCTGCTTAGACCACTGCCCCCGTGACCTGGTCTCGGATAAGTAGAAAAAGATGGATGGATGGATGGATGGATGACCTGCCTGCTAGCATGCACCCCGCTGTTATGTGCTGGATTGTCTCAGGGGCATCTTTGCACAGCCTATACCTGGGGTCCTGCCTGGTATGGTAGAGCCCTGCCTCTAATGATCTTGTACTTAGAGCCTGTTCTTGCAGAATAGGGAAGCTTAGTGGTAAACACTATTGGCTTTGGCATGGAAGGTTGGGGGTTTGAACCTTGGTCAGGGCATGGTCAATATCCAGCGTGGGCCCCTAGGCAAGGGCCTTAATGCTAGATGTACATGTATGTACATATACTGCATGTCCCATCCTATACATTTTTCACAACACCGTCCAGGCTGTACTCTTAATTATATACGCTACGTGTTTTTTTCATACACTGCATTTTTATTTATTGTAAATATATCATTTTTAGCACTTCTGGTTAGATGCTAACTGCATTTAAAAGGGCACCCATAGAAAACCTCCAGCTCAGCCTGTTACAACTCATAGGACACAGCATCTTTATCATTTAAACAACTTTTACAATGCAGGACTTTTCCTGGTAGCACTTTCTACACTATGATATTGCTACATTTGAAGAAAGGGATCTGGATGACTCTTCCACCACTGCTATTTAATGGCATTTGTTGATGGTATTTATAGTTTCTCCATTAACATGTATCTATAAAAGTGAGATTTTGTGATAATAGCTTAAATACTCAAATTCACATAAAAACACAAATAAAACAGGGAATGGTGCAGCTTAATAAAATCAAAATGTGAAGCCATCTAAAAGATAAAATCCAACAGAAAACACACCCTGCTTTAATACACCTTCAGAGAAAACACCTTTCTTCTCTTTTTCACCATGTTTAAAGACACACTTGAGGATATAGATGAACGTCCATCTGTATGTCCAACACTTTGGTCAGCAGTCACATATCTCAGTATCTATCAGTCAGATCATCACTATCAGATAATGCTAAACATTAACCAATCAGCTCTTCAACAGCTGAAAGATATCTAAACACCTGAGCAACAAGACACAGATGTTAGCATCCACTAATCATCAGATGTTCAAGTAATATCCTGATCTTGTTACTACTGTTCACAGGATGAAACCTTTCAGTTGTTAATGACTACATAATCATTCGTGTATCCACAAAATACATTTCACATCTTTAGCCACACTCTCCTGTTGATAATCAATAGATCAAGTTATTGTTTTGTCATATTGTGGATGTACTAAGTCTGTAGCCTGCAGGGAACACTAACACCACTACAGACCTTTAACATTATAAGTTTTCACCATAGCACTTCATGTGCTTCTAGAAAGTTGTTTAAACATCCTGAACAGCAACAGGAATCAGGTCTGACAGGTCTTAGCTGATCCTGGTTTACAGTCCATCCTCACAGTGCTGCTCTGAGGTCAGATCATATGACCATACAAGAACTGCAGTTTGGATTAGCAGCAGTCAGAGAGTAAATCGACTCCTGCTGTCATCCACATGTAAAATCACATAGAGACTCTATAGAATCATTACATAAAACCAGTCAGATTCCTGTGAAGAACATGGAGAATGAAGGTTCGTTTAAAATATTTTGTCATGACTTCTGAATCACTCCTGAATGAGTAAGTGACACCACACTTTATGTTGCCGCCTCCGGTGGGCTTGTCATGAATTAAACAGCATTGTTCAGGTTCTCTGGCCTTATTTTTCAGAGAGCAGATTGAACCTGTCACATGTCTTCATACAGCAGCATACCACTGAAGATGGTGAGGGGCTCCACAGAGTGGGCCAGTTTGCCCATCACCAGGTCGATGCACACCGTGTCCCGATTCTGCAGAGGCAGGATGATGTTGAAGACAGCCAGGGAGCCTGGAGTGGTTTTGGCCTCAGCCACAGGGTTGTTCTCCAGGCCTTCAGGCTGGTAGCCTCCTGAGTCCACCCGAGCCATGCCATAGTTAGATTTGGACAGAACTGCCTCGATCTTCTCATTCTTATGACCTGTCAAAATGGCACTGAAGAAGTAACGTCCATTTACAGGGGCGGTGAAAACACCTGAAGGTGAGAGATCAAACTCAGATTAATACCAAGAAACATGACCAGTCGTTAACCACTGACATAGGGACAGGAGGAACAGGGGATCGAACCACCAACCCCATGGTTAGTAGATGACCTGCTCCATCTGCTGAAATGTTACCTGTCATGTTTACCTGTTCGAGGGTCGTAGTGGTTTCCATCATTAACAAAGATCTTGTCAAAGGTGATGGTTCCAGCTCTCTCCATGGGGACAGTGAGGGCAGCAGAGAATGACAGCCTGGGTATATGAACATCAACACCAGGCAGACCTGAAAATGCACACAGACACACATCGAAGACTATTGCTTCATTGCAGAGTGAAGCAGTCCTAATGACAGGTGATGCAGATCACAGTGAACAAACACGACTGTGATGCTGTTAGCTATTTCAGCCTGTTTAAGTGCTGTGAAACAATGGCTGTGTTCCATTTCCTCGTGCCATCATGCCTCTTGTCATGTACCGGTGAGGGTACGGAAACCTATGTACAGTGGGTATGGAAAGTACAGTATTCAGACCCCCTTAAATTGTTCACTCTTTGTTATATTGCAGCCATATGCTAAAATCATTTAAGTTCATTTTTTCCTCATTAATGTACACACAGCACCCCATATTGACAGAAAAACACAGAATTTTTGACGTTTTTGCAGATTTATTAAAAAAGAAAAACTGAAACATCACATGGTCATAAGTATTCAG